TTCCGAAGTGAGTCGAGTTATTCGACTCAGAGAGTCGGATGCCTCTGGCTGCCGTAAGAATCGTTCTCAGTTGCAGTCGGTCTCAGCGCAGGGGGTTACCTTTCTGGACGGCTTGTAGCCCGCAGCCGAACCTGTTGACAACGACAGCAGACATCCCAAAAACAAAAGGTAAGTCAGGGGTAGATAGTTGATGATTACACTGATCAGCTTCCACCCCGAACATCTCCTCAGCTCCGGAATGCATGGGATGGCAAGACTTCTTTACATGATGCCGCAACCCCAAAGACTGACTGACGGGTTCAGGCTGAGATTCGTAGTCATGGCACAAGATCCTACGACACAGCTCTCGGGAGCTATAGACGGTAGACCAGCTTAGCCATGCATGAGGTGGGAAGAGAAAACGTCATTCCGAGACCCGAAATCCCTTGCTCAAACCTCAGGCACGAGATTCAACGAGACTGCAAAACTCCGATTGGGGTTTAGGGTTCAAAGGGCTCAAGGCTTAGTAAGTTTAAGCTTTAGGGTTTAGGGGTTCAGGGCTTGCCAGATACATATATAGCCATTCAAGCAGAGCCTTTCTGGCCCTCGCCAGCTCGTGCCCAAGGCGAAGTCCCAGTGCCACAAAATGGAGACGCAAAGTCTGCAGGCGGCTCTTCTCATAATGTAGGGGCCTTAATAATTCGAAAATTAGAATAGGGTTGTGGGGTATATTGTATTAGAATTTCATAATGTAGGTAATTATCATAATGTAGGGGCCTTTATTTAATAATTAGAATAGGGTTTTGGGGTATATGATACTACTATAATTATAATAAGGAGCCCCCAAAAGAACGTAGGTAAATATTATAAGGCCCCTACATTAAGCAGTCTTGCAGAGTCTAGCATTCCGTCTTGAGGTTTAGCTTCGTATACGTGGGCGATTGACTTGATCCGGAAATAAGAAATGCTCCATGATCAGGGTGAGGGTTGAAGGCTTAGCTTGCAGATCCTCAGAAAGCCTTGTATAGTCTTGACATGAGTGTCTCTAAACTAGACAGGTCCCAAGAATGGTACGGCACAATTATAAAAGGGACCCTACTATATACCCACCGTAGTCCTGGCAGGAGACTGGGCAGTGGCTGGCCAGGACCGGACATCGGGCTGTCAACAGAGAAGCTCCGTTTCATTTAAACATAGGGAAAAGTTTCAGTTCCAAGGGGGTAATTATGGACATACGGCTGTGACTTTCCCGCTTGGTGCAAGGTTTAGGTTCTCGGGCAAGCACGAGGCGAGGCGCGATCAGGCGTGCAAGGTGAGCGGTGGTCAGACTACGGTCATGGACCCTACACCCTAAACCCTTCTCTTGCCATGCCAGCTTTGTGCGAGTGTGTGAGTCGAAACCCTGTAAACCTTTATAAACCCTCAACCCTATACAAACCCTAAGCCTTAAGCCCTAAACCCTACACAATGTGCAGCCATCTTCTCCGTACTTCTCAGAATGTACAATAGTCTCGCAAGGTAGCAGGCTGCTGCCAATTCCACTCCTTATGCGGCCCTCACATGTGTTGAATGTGCGCCACACTTGTGCGGTAATGACGATGTGCAGTTGCTCCGGGATTTTACCGAAGACTGTCGAAGACTCATAAATATTCTTCATTGCACCGCCTTGGCCAGGATTCGCGCGACATTCCACGGCATTGACACTGCAGATGCTCCTGTCTGAGGTGATGAGGTTTTATTTTGGTTCTCAGGAAATGCCCGGTTGCGCGTCCCCACCAAGCTATTGTCGTGCTCCAACATAAAGCCCGAGAGATGTTCGTCCGTTCTGGTCAAGTTGCCCTGTAACGCAATCTCCTGCATAGCAGTGCTAGCTCAGTTTTGCTTCGTTGTCGGCCCTTCCGCTACAGTACCCAAGCTTTATGGATAAGCCAGACATGTCTACTCCACCTTTGATGCGGCTTGGAGGCAATATAGGCTACCTATAATATTTTGGGGGGGGTTCTTATAATTTTAATTCTAGTATGATATATCCCCAAAACCCTATTCTAATTATTGGGGCCATTGGGGCCCCTACATTAAGCCCCCCATGGACGCGCACCTTTGACATGGCTCGCAGGTTTGGTGCGTTAGGGCTCAAACATGAGAAGATGAGCCCGGGCTAGGCAGCTAGGCCCTAGGCCGGTGTGAGTTGACATTCATTCTACGGCCACTGACCCTTTCTCCAAACTTTTCAACTTTAAGTATGATTCAGGATGATTTAGGGCACCAACAGGGCATATGAAGGCTTGGGCTCTACGGTTGGGCATGGTGCAGTAGTGGTTCAGGGAGTCAGCAAAGCTTATCCACCGACTCGATGAAGAACATGTCCTTGAAACACAGAACCAGCATTAGTTCCAGAACCATGCACTGTTCTGCAAGATGTGCGATGGGGTGCGAAATTTCGTGTGTTCTGAAGAACTGAGACAAACTGCAATAATGTTCGATGTATTTAATATTGAAGCAACCGCGGCCAGTACTTCATGTTTAAACCTTTAGCTTCGGCATCTAGCCAGGGCTCGTGCATCGTGCGCTGTTGCATGTTGATGCCGGGCTTACAAGTTGAGGCTCAAACTTATTGTGGCACGGCATACCTTACACGGCCCCGTCTAGGTGCAGCAGTACCAAAACAAAACTGCGCGGCAACCCTGAACCCGGCATGCGCGCTCAGCCGCTCCCGTCAGCACCCTGAGCTCTATCCCGGAACCACCAGGTAGCACGCGCACCACACAGGAGTTGAACATGAAGCCATCCAGTCGAGCGTACCCTTACCTAGGAGACTTTACCACACGTTTTGAATTCTGGCCACCCGTGTCTGCTGCTTTAGCAGGCAGTGCGCGCGGCTTCTTTCAGCCATGGGGCCCGGGGCAGCCTCTCTTTAAGTCGCCATGGATGAGGCACGTGGGACAGTTTAGGGATTTGGGGTTGGAGGCCAACTTTTATCTTCAGAAGGTGCAAATCCAGATACTTGCATTTCGGAGTTTCCACCACGAAGCTTCTGTCGCCACGGCCACGGGCCCGAAGGGCAAACCGTCCTCATGCAAGACCCCAAGCAGCCGACATCTCGCAAGTCCGGTACTCTGCAAGATCTCGCGTGTAATCGCTTCGAAAGCCTGTATCAATACTTCGTGAACATGAACATGTTACAAGCAGACAACAAGGGACTTTCGTATTGAACCGAGAGTAGGATATGGGTAGTGTCTCCAGCTTGGAACAAGGACCCCTATAGAGGCCTCCGAAGTTTCCGAATTTGTGGAAGCATCCAAGTCCCCGTGCTCAGGACCTTCGCCACCCCGAAGGGGTGGCGATTCCGAGACCAAGGCCACCTGCGAAACAGAGGGGTTGTGGGCACAGACAGGGGTTTTGAGGGGGAAGGGTTTTTGTTGAGGGTCTTGAGGCTTAACGGCTCTTAGGGTTTTAGGGCTTTCGGAAGTTGCACCCTCTGCTACTTGACATGGCGATGCAGGAAATTCCGTAGAGGTCATGGTTGAGATTGGAGCTGCAAGTAACACTTCGAGGACATTCCAGATGGCAGTGAACCTATGTAAACCTCTGGGCTCTGTAGTCGCAGATGCTGCCGTGCCCGGTCATTTTGGCACACTGCCTTGGTTGAGATGACGGTAGCATTTGGCGGTCCAGTGCCCGATTGAGGGCTAGTGTATAGGTGACTCTACTGTACGTATGTGTTTGAGAAAAGTTGTGCTCTTTGCGCATGTGCCAGATTCTTTGGGAGCTCTGTCGCTCTGGGGACAAACCCCCTAGTCAGCCAAACTAGGAGTTTACACAGGCATTTCCAGAAATGTGGTTGCTATGCACTAAACATTAGTAGACATCCGTGAATTAGTAGGAAAAATAGATACAACTGCTACAACAAACATCCTCGCCACGTATTGCACGCACCTACCTACTTTGATTGGTATCCAGGCCTTCATAGCTACATTTGGAATCAAGTCGCGGTGCCGTTTCTCGAAACTGAAGCTGCCCTTCCCGACGGCTCCATACAAATCTATACACCAATCGAATTTCGTTTTGCCAAGTTCTTTGTTCGCAATCTGCACGACTTGCCAACGCCTGCGCAGGTTCCACGAAAACTCTTTAGACGACGGCAGGCAATACTTTGCCGACAAAGATGAGGCCCGGATGATGCCTGCCCCGCGGAGCTACCAGATCCAATGAACGCCAAAGCTGTACGAGATTCATTTATATGAACCTAATAAAGACGGAGCTGGTAAGCATTACACAGCGGTGGGGCCGTAACCCATTGCATGCAGAACACCGAGTTTGGGCCAGTGCACCCTCAGGTCAGGACTCGGGAAATGCCTTCGGAATTGGGCGCAAGGATGCGAGGTGGAAGTAATTGGAATTCGTAGAACACGCATCGCTGGCTCTGAGTCGTCTAGGGACTTGAGCCGCTTTCCCGTAACTTACTCCCCTATAGTCATTATAGTCGTTGTTATCACATTGGTATACTGTCCTTAAACTGTTCCAATCTTACAGTCCCTGTATACTTGCCACGAAAGAAGACGACCAACCAGGAGAAGGGAAGGACTTCATTCTGCAACGGTAAAAGCGAAACGCCAGAAGAAGAACCCTAAACGCTCTTTTGCTGTCACCCTTCGGACCGGAAACCTTCGGATCATTGAGGCTCTCGTCACTGCTAAGCTGGTTGCTGTTCAGCCCTTGGGTGCTCCTAAGGTTAAGATTGCACAGTTTCTTACTTGTACGTTGTTATACCGAAAGTTCTCGCCCCACAGGCATACAATTCCAACCCTACTGGCATCAGCCTCTAAAGCTTCGCGCACATACGTGCATGCAAGCTTAGCAGCTCACAGCTTGCGGGGGCGTCCTAAGCCTGAGATGTCAAATGTCGAATCTGCGCACGCCGAAGAACCTGCATAGTCTTCAACGGAGACCATGAATAAGTACCACCCTATAATCGATTAAAGCGTAACCGAAAGCCCAACAGGACTCCGTAATGTCAGCGGATGCCGTCCACTGAAGATGAAGGCACCAATTGCTGCCTCAAAAGGACACTTGCCGGCTGCGTTTGCCTCGGTGCCGGAGCGGCAATGCTCCTGCGATCCAGCCCCTTCAGCTACGGCTACGGTATCCATCTTACAAGTACCGACAGCGATGCCGTCAGCAGCACCGGATGGCACGGTAGAGAGCGAGAGAGCGGGGGAGAAAGCAAACCTGTCGACTCTGCGGTGTTGCCGGGGCCCTCCACTACGAGGCTGCCTGCCAAAGCGACGACTGCGGTGAAGACGACTTCAGTCGGCAATTCGATTTGCAATGCCACCAGGGAGTGTGGCACATGGGTGAGGACGCAGGCACCGAAACTTGAGAGCCAGCAAGCTGGGGAGCAACCTTTCTACAATAAGCACATCGTAATGGTTGGAGACTCACGGATGCGGTACCAATATCTGTCCCTGGCTTACTTCTTCACACATGGTGCTTTTGCCACAGGCGACGACTTCACTTTTCTGATTAACGCAAAGATGTTCACCGAGAGGCTTTCTGAGCCATGGAATTTCTGGTTCAATAAAACGAACCACGCATTGAAGCACGAACTGTGCAACTGCTACAGACCAAAGAGCGGTCTCGCCACTGCTGTGGAGAATCGGTACTACCGCCATCCTGAGAAGATGGTCTCGATCACATACTTGCAGAAATACGGACCGGCCCTGATGCAAGGGCACTGGCATTCTGACGGCACAAGCATTGACTTGTGCAACTGTCAGTGCGGGCCAAGAGCATGCAACCCCTTGATCCAAACTCCAACGTGGATTGCGAAAGACTTGCCCGAGCTCGCGACGGTCGTCGCGAATTTGAAGCCTGACTACTTGGTTTTTCACCCAGGCTGGGAGGAGTTCCAAGCCTGGTCGACAGAAGACTTGGTCCGGTTTTTTTCGCTGATCCAAGAATCCTGCCCGGCCGTGCGGCTGTACTTTAAGACTCGGCTTATCAAGTCAACAGAGAATGCCAACAGCTTTCTTTCATGGGCGAACGGCTACTACAGGGACATGTACAGAAGGCTGAATTTCGCGGCGCGCGGCTGGCATATGTGGGACGTTTCGAATATTACGGCATCGTGGAAGGCTAATGACACGAAAGCCACCTTCATGTGGGATCAATGGCACTATAGCCTTTCGGCGAACAATGCCATGAACAGGTTCATGTTGCAGACTCTATTTGGTGTCGATGTGCATCAATTTGTCACGTGAGGGTTGCTACTCTGAGCGAAACTCGACTTCGGTGTTGCCGCGCTCGAGGCATTGCTTAGGTGAACAATGTCTCGCGAGTTCGAGCGGTAAGGTCAGAAACCAGAAGGGTCATGGCCGTCATCAGCGTAGTCATCATCACGACGAACCCCTTGCCCTTGGTAGTAAAAGCCGTCCGTCATGATTCGACCCTCTTGTTCCTTTCAGCAAACCCTTAATGATGATGAGTCCCTTACCCCTGACAGTAACACCTCTCCCCGACCAGCAATGTGTCATTTACCCGCTACACTCTGCCGGCTCGTCCGTCTCAGCAGCTGCTCCCGGGAGGAGCATTTCTGTCGGGGCCAGCCCATAGCCATATTACAGAGCGCTACAGTCCAAACGCGCTAGACCCAAACCCTAGACTCTGGGTAGTCGGAGTCGGCGGGTAGAGGTAGAGTTGGTGGAAGCAGCAGTCAGCAAGTGATTGACAAGGTTTGCAGCGAGCTACTCAGTTGAGTAGTCAAGTAGCAGAGGGTTGAGTTGGTGTTTGCAAACTATACAGACAGGCCAGCCCTTAAGCGAGTAAGTCAGTAGTTGAATTGAAGTACGGCTGATGAGATAGATCTTGCATGATCCATAATGAGGAATAATGAGGAATATATACCATAATTCCCATAGTTTAGGGTCCTTAATGCAGGATTTATATCACCAACAGTATGACTCCAAACCGCATTGGGTCGATCCGACCAGTTCATACTCCTCTGTTAATATAGGGCCCTTAATGATTAGAATAGGTTTTTGGGGCGTATTATAAACTAATTATACTAAGGAACCCTCAAAATATTTTTGGTAATTATTCAGGCCTCTATCTTACGTGAGGTTCAATGTTCCTGGGAAGGACTTGTCGGAAGTGCCATTGCTCACTCCATTTCCATGTCCATAATTATAATTGCTTTTGGGTTAGTTACTGCAGCCATGAAGCCAAGCCCTATACCCATGCTGTTTTCAGGGCGACCACGCGGACGCTGCAAAGGACACCCATCCGAAACTCACGGGTTCAGGGGTTGGGGTCCGCATCGGTTTGTTTACGGGTTTCTCTTTTGATTAGTGGATGTGAACTATGTCTCCTGAATCTGGTGTATCACGGCGGGTTGTCTCGCTATCCAACCCAGACCGACGCCTGCACGAAGGTAAGAAGCCTGGTTGACAGCCTAGCTTCAGGACTTCAATTCAAGTTCCGTTCCTAGATGTCCTAGCACAAGAACGATGGGGGTGGCCAGTATTCCTTAAGAGCCGTGTTGCTGCACACCCCCGAGCCGGGTGAGGACTTACCCTGAACCATTGAAGACTTTGTTCCTTTGCAACTGGAAGCAATTGGCTTGTGTACAGCAGCAACTGTGTGTTAACCAGGTTCGGTTCCAGTGGCTCGCGGTCGAAGTGGTGCTGATGGCAGCAGTAGAAGCAAAAGTAGTAGCCGAGTAGTAGTAGTAGTAGTAGTAGTAGTAGTAGTAGTAGTAGCAGCAGTATTAGTAGTAGTAGTAGTAGTAGTAGTAGTAGTAGAAGTAGTAGTAGTAGTAGTAGTAGTAGTAGTAGTAGTAGTGGACTGCCAGTGGTTGTGGTGGTAGTGGTACTGGTGGTAGTCGTGGTGGCGGTGGCGGTGGTCGCAGCTGGTGTTGGGGCGGCGGCGAATCTCTCGAGACCGGTGAGCAGTTCCTGATCACGAAATGTTTTCCATTGACAGCGGGAGCATGTGGACAGAAACAAAGTAACAAGCAGGATTTTAACGAAGATGGCGATCCTGCGAGTCAGCAGCTTAGCCAGTCATTAGAGTACATAGCAGTACCAGGAGTCGGTCGCAACCGACAACTATGCCAACGGCATGGACTTGATGGACATCTCGACCCTCGGGCATGTCTGGGGAATAACCTTCCGTGTCTTGTCTTCCAAACGTGGTGCACCACGGCGCTCTACACCTAAGATATTCTGCGCTGAGAGGGTTAGTAGGTTCATTGCGATTACCAATCGTGCTGTTAGCATCGATTACATGAGTCACCCTCGAGTAATATCCAATCGCATGCAAGGAAAGCTGACCCAGATGTGGCGACCATGTCCACCGATGCACTCGAAACCCTGGAGGAGGCACCGCATCAGTTAGCAATTCAACCCTACTCAGCTCCCGGTAGCAGCTTAGCAAACAGCCAGTGCTATTCACCGGCGGTGAGCAGTTTTCTGAACCCTAAATCCCTAAACCCTGAACCCATAAACCCCTAAACCCCTAAGCCCGGTCTGCTCTACCAGGGCAGTCATCCCGATACATATCCAGAAGCCAGCACGGACCGGGGGACGAACGGGTTGATTAAAGGAAGTTGACCCACGAAGTTGAAGGGGGTTCTGTTTAGGGTCATATAATGGCATATGTATAGTATGCATGTATATATATATATACACATATAGATATATATACAGATATAGATACAGATATAGCTAATTTAACTTGGACTCGTGTAAAACCTTTCTTGTTTATCAGTAGCGATGGCCTTTGACTGGGCCACGTTTGGTTGTGTCGGGCTCTGCGTCGGCTTCTACAACTGAACGACTGAGGTCGAGTAGGACGAGCGTCCGGTGTAGGGTTAGGGTCAGAGCATCGCATTATGTGTTACTGTCGTTACTGCGTGTCGGTATGGTTTGAAATGGTGTCAGTGACGGCCAGCGGCGCTAGACGATCTCACAGTTTTCAGTCTAGCCTTCTGTTTTCATCCGTGCCGGATTAACCCGGATTAACCTGCAAATATCCGATGTTCTGATTGCTTTTTGCGTTTTGCACACAGTAATCCCCGTAATTTGTTTCGGTTCTGGTACTTCACGCAAGGCGGTGGCGAAGGACAATGCAGCCTCACAAGCGATGGCAGAAAGCCGTAGAGCAGACCATGACAGATTGTAAGAGCATGCTGCAGTCGCTCGCCAGGCTGCGGTTCGGCTGTATGAGATCGTGGTGCGGCCTGCAGAGTTTCAGCTTAACTGACCGACCAGGGCAATCGCAGAAACGGGCAAAGGGTTCGGGGAATGAATTGCGCATGCCAGCGACTCGGTGATGGCAGTTCATAGTTATGGTTATGGTTATTGTTTGGTTATGGTTTAGGACTTGGTTGCCACTATTAAGGTCTGAATGGCGGATGTATTGAAACGCTTGCAAGCCCCGAGGAGACGTCTTTGGGCTCAGGGTTTAGACGAGCAAGAGATGCGATTGACTCAAGGGTTCAACATGGAAACAGAGGCTTGAACCCGTAGGGCTGCATGCATTGCGACTAAGACCCATGGCGGTATGTTGGGAACCGAAATTTTGAGACAGTGTCGCCTACAGCAAAGAAGTCCTACAGTAAGCCCCAGTCTTAACCACCCAAGCCGACAAAACATCGGCACCCCCCTGACTTGGAACCTAGGAAACTGAGCCCTCGTACGGCAACGTGCCCAGCAGCGGCATGATCGTTGGGACTCGAGTGTCTTTGCTGTGATATAATTACTGTGGCAGGTTCAGCTGGGGCAGCCAATTCATGCGCAGGTGTGTTTGATCTCCGTCCGAGGCACCAGAGATGGATGTGGACCACGAGATAAGCTGCTCGAAGGGCAGATGGACAGGTTGAGTTCATGGTTTACAGGGTCCGGGTCCAGGCACCCGACCAACGCGGCATGCACGTTCCTTGAAGACTCGAGTGTTCAGCTTGGTTTGACAGGCTCTTCCGAAATTAGCAGGAACAGCGTAGATCCGTTGCAACTGCTGCACCAGTGTCAACAGCAACGATTTCTTGCAGAAGGTGCAGCTGCACTTGGCGAGACCCAAGTTCGAGGTCTGCTTCACACTTCACTAGAACAACGCCCGCCAAAAGCCCTGCACTCGAAACTGCCACGCCTGAAGGCTCGAAAGAAGGAGAACCGAACCCTTGAGGTGCCCTTGGCAACGTGTCCTCGAATGGGGACGACTCCGGGGAGCTGCAGCCTCAGGGACAAGTTTGCCTCGGTTTTTTCTCCGGTGTGGGGTCTGGATGAGTTTTTGCATGTTTGAATAGTGACTAGTGCATTTGTCGGATCACGAAATAGCGGCAGATTGTTTTTTGACAGAGGTTACACGGATAGACGACTTCATGCATATTTGTTCCGACACATGGGTGCTTGTGTCAGCAGCGTGGAATGACAGTGTGTGGTGTAGGCATGTGTAGGCTTCATTTTGCCAGCATCCATCAAGATCTATGATTGTATTTCACAACGCCATGGACAGGAGGATCGAATTTGGATGGGATAGAGCTCAGTTTGTCGGTGAAGCGTGACCTGTGAAGGTGCTGTTGGTGTATTAAGGTTTTTTGCAGCACCGGGAATGCGTGAAACATGTGCGCCCAATTGCTGTGAACGCTGCACGTGATTAAAGCGGCCCAAGGCTGAACAAAGACCACATCCTGTCGGGCCACAGCTTCTTCTGTAGGAACTGTTGCATAAACTTGCACTGGAATCGCTACGCATAACTAGCACATGGTAATGGCCTTGGAAAACCCATGCCAGCCTCCTGACAGCGAGGTTGGCACACTTCAGGTGCCTTGGTCAGCTCATCGTGCTCGTTTCTTCTCGTGTTTCGGATCGCGTGTTTGTGCCGTCTCTATACATCCGTCCTTGTGTGCGTGTGTCTGCGCGGTTGCGCGCGTGTCTGTATGAGTCTGTCTATCTGAATATCTATCTGTCTACCTATGTACCTATCTATCTGTCTATCTATCTACCTACCTACCTATCTATCAATTTATCTATCTGTCCATCCATCCGTTCATCCATCCACCTATCTTATATATATATATATACATACACACACATACGTATACACACATAATATACACACATAATGTACACACATATTATACATCTATATGTAAATACATTGTATGTATGTATATATATATATATATGTCTACGTACCTGCAAATGATCTATCTATCTGTCCATCCATCCATCCATCCATCCATCCATCCATCTATCTATCCATCTGCATATGCTGCCATGCGGGAGCCAAAAATCTATACATCCATCCATCTATCCATCCATCCATCCATCCATCCATCCATCCATCCATCCATCCATCCATCCATCCATCCATCCATCCATCCATCTGTTTGTCTATCTGTCTGTCATGACTATCTATCTTACAGTATCGTATCTCACCATCCGTCCCTCCGTCCCTCCATCCATCTGTCTATCTATCTGTCTCTCTCTTTCTCTGTGTTTGTGGGGCGGGTCGTCTAGGTCTTCTGTCTTGAACAAGTGCCTGCTTCTTGTCCCATCCGATTGGGTTCAACGGATTTCTAAGATCAACTCAGGAAACAGGCCCCTGCGTTCGCCGCGAAGGCCCTGACTGCAGCTCCATTTCCGATGCCTGCATGATGCGTTTCCGATGCTTGCATGATGGGGTGCAGTGCCTTCAGTTCCGATATGGGCCTCGGTCGGTGGGCTCGGAGTCTTATATCTTTGTTGGTGCTGTTGACGCCCTGCCGGACTCAATTGCAGGGTGTCCTGCACTGTTTTGGCAGCTACTTCGGCACGGGGTTCATGCCAATGTTCAAGCTTTGCTGCTGGTGTTCACCTGAAACCCTTGAAGGGCACAGCAGCGATTGGATTCTTGGGCTTGGCATAGGACGACTTAGGCTGGGCTGAGCCGGCAATCGGCAACCCTGATCGTTTCAACTTCTGCAAAAACTTGAAACAGACTAACGGGGCCAATAGTATAATGGGCCTCAAAACCCCATTCCAAGTAACCCTAAACCCCAAACCCTCAGCCCCATTCTAATTACTGAGGTATCAATATTATAATTAAGCCTCATAGCCCCTGGAAGGTCAGCTCCGACATGGACAACATGGACAATTCTGCAGACAGTGTCTGGAATGGAACCTCCTCGGAGTCTTGGCTTTGCGTCTCAGGGTTTAGGGGTGGTCATGGGATGCCTTTCCCAACTCTGGATCACGGATGCTTGGGGATGACTGGGTGTCCCGTCTGCACAAGTCTTACTCTCTAAGGGCCTCCAATACGACAAGCTCGGTCATGGTTGTCGGTTTTTCAAATCTTGACTGCGGCAGTCAGTTCTAGCAGCTAGCAGGAGTCGCCCCCTGTAGAGCTCATGATGATCTCGAAAGATCTGCGCCTTTACAATTTGAGAGCATCTCACTTTTGCACGACATCCACACAGTACGACACGACGGGAATCGCCAGGCCAGAGAGGGTTTTCAACCTGTCTGAAGCGCCTCTGAAACTGGTGGAGTCTGAGCCCTGAATATTTAGGAAGATTGAAGCAAGCCCAAAAATGTGTCAATTTGAGTTCCAGTGGGAGTTTCAGAAACAAAGGACCCCAGTATAGAGCCGGAAATGCCTCAATGCTGAATCCTGATAGCAAGGACCACGAGACAGGGTATCCTAAGTTATTACAACTCCCAAGCAGATCCAAAAGCTCAGAAGCCAAGGGCAGTGATCACGGCAAGTCGAGCAGATCCAGGCCGGGAGATTCTCCACTAATACATGTGTTTATTTAGGGTTTAGGGTTTAGGGTTTAGGGTTTTATATATCTGACCTAACTTGTAGATGCGTGAGGGTGTGCATCTAAATGTTGAAAGGGTTTAGCCCTGGGGGTTCCTAGGGTGTCCTTGGGCCCTCGGCGCTAGTGGCCAAATCAACAAGGCATTACAGAGTCTAGCACCTCGCTCGAGCAGACAAACAAACATCTTCACGGAAAGAGCTGCATTCAAGACGTAGGATCTTGGCTACAGCTGAGGGCCGTATCATTTCCACTACTGTATACATTTTTCTCGAAACCTCATGCCCAAAGCTTCCCAGCAGTTCACGAGTTGCATGGGGAACCCTCAGCTTCTGGCATTGGACTTCCAACGGCCCCTGCGAGCCGGGGATCATGCGCAGTGTCCGGCACCTCCCCTGAAATAAGAACATAAGCAGTAACAGGCACAAGGCACATGCACGCGCACACGTACATGCGCACACGCACGCAAGCACACGCACACACACACACACACACACACACACCCATACACACACACACACACGCACACGCAGAGACCATAATTTCCGCTTGAAACAGACCCTATTATAACATCCTTAGACCATGCAGCCTGAATCCTGTTCGCCTGACAGGCGAATGTCTCAAAGGCTCACCATGACGACGCGGAAATCGTCGGCGAACATGGAGCGTTTTGTGGGCTTCAGGGTAATTTTCTACATGCAGCCGGAGTGAAGCTGGGGGTAGGTAATTAGTATGGTGGGAGCAGTAGCAGTAGTGGTAGTCGTGGTGGTATTATAGTAGTAGCAGTAGCAGCGACAGTAGTAGTGGCAGTGACCGCAGTGGTCATGGTAGCGCTAGTGCCAGCGCTCGCACTAGCGCTAGCAGTAGTGGCAGTGGCAGCAGTAGCAGCAGTGGAGGTACCAAGCAGGTCCCCGGTCCTTGCGAGTGAAGAAGTGGAGGCGGTTCTTCGGTGGTCGATCTAAACCTAGGTTTCGGGTTTAGGGTACATCCTGTTGCGGCCTCCAGAAGTCTGGACGTCTGGAGCCCGAAGTCCGAAGGCCTTCAACGCTTCCAAGCACAGGACTTTAAGGATTTAACGCAGATGCACCGGATGTCCCTAGTCCGTGGTCGGCCATTACGGCTTTCAGGTTCAGTGTCTCAGAAAACGACCGAACTCTTACGTATGCACAGCTCAGAGTCCAGGAACAGTTCGTGGGTTTCTGGGACTACATCATGTCTCTATCTATACAGAGACAAGGCTATGTTGAATTGGGACGTACTGTTGGTGAGTGAACCCTGCCGGAGGACAAGTGGCGAAAGCGCTTGCAGAATGCAAAGTCCACGGCCTTCAAGTGCCTGTGCTGGCCTAGCCCATATCGAGAATGCTAGGTGGTTTAGGATTCTTCGAAATAGTCGGTGGAGTGGACCGGTTCGGCTTCGTCGTGTTGGAGAAGTCCCACGGCCG